ATGCCTGTGCCCCTTACTCGACTCCCATTCACCACAGGAGTCAATACACACAGAGAAAATTCCAGAAGAACCGCCACCCCCGTCCTACCTCCCAGTATAACCAGAGACTCTTTGGAGGAGACATGGAGAAGTTTATCCAGGTACTTGCTTTGCCCCATGCTCCATCTGATTGAAGGAAGCCTGTCTGTGCTGGTCTTTCTTCAACTCTGGATCATCTTTGTGGCCAAGCAGCTGCTTGATCCCTGCATCCCCATTCCTGACCTTCCCTGGGGGAAGTCAATTGTCCCTTTCTGGGTGGGCCTTTTCTAGGCCTCTCTGCTGGGCTCACTCATGGCCTTTACTGCTTGATGTGAATGTCCTCAACAGTCATAGGAATACAGAAACCTGGGACTACGGCACTTTTAAGGAGGAGATGTTGACAGATCCCCCACCCATGACTGGTATCAGTGTAGGATGCCCACAGGTCCCACTGTTGGCCCCTTGGCTATGGGGGGGTTCCTTGATAGTGAAATAGAGGAAGCAAGAGAGATCCCAAAAGAAGAAAGAGCTTGTGGATACAGAGCATGCTGAGTCTTGTGGGCATGACTAGAATCCTAGTGACTTGGGAGGATCAGGCAGGAGGATGGCAAGTTTGAGGCCAGCTGGGAAATTTAGTGAGACCCAGTGTCAAAAAATAAAAAAAGTTGGGGTTAGAGCTCAGTGGTAGAGCATCTTTGGGTTCAATCCCTAGTACAGAAGAAAAAGAAAAAACAAAAAACAAAAGAAGAAAGAGAGGGAACACTATCATTCGCAATGATGTGATTGTATACATAGAGAATTCAAAAGAATCAGACTGTTTAAATGAACCAGTTTGAGTTGTGCAGTGTTATTTGATTCAAGGTCAACGTCCAGATTTTGATTGCATTTTGACATTCCAGCAACAAATAATTTGCAAATAAAATGCAAAGCACTGCCTAAAATAGCATCAGAAATATCAGACACTTAGTAGTGACTGTAACAAACTTAATAGAGAGAGACAGAAAGGTGGAATGCCAAGGTGGGTCTTGAGTGTAATACCCTCTGTCCCCAGAGCTCAGGCCAGCCTGTTCCCCTGGTGGTAGAGAGCTGTATCCGCTTCATTAACCTCAATGGTAAGCACACCCCAGCCCCTCCTGCGGCCTGGCGCCCGGCACCTGAAACCTCACGCACAGGGCGACAGTCCTGAAGCTGGGAGGGGACTCTGCCCACCAGGTCCTTGTCCTCCACAGGTCTACAGCATGAGGGCATCTTCCGAGTATCAGGTGCCCAGCCCCGGATCTCAGAGATCCGGGATGCCTTCGAGAGAGGTGGGGACAGGCAGGCCAGGGGGGCAGTGGGGGCTCAGCAGGTGCAGGTGGCCTCCTCACTGTGCCCTGTTTCCTGTCCCTCCTCAGGAGAGGACCCTCTGGTAGAAGGCTGCACTGCCCATGACCTGGACTCAGTGGCCGGGGTGCTGAAGCTCTACTTCCGGAGCCTGGAGCCCCCACTCTTCCCCCCAGACCTGTTCAATGAGCTGCTGGCTTCTGCAGGTGAGGCCGGGGCCTGAGGGTGGCCAGATGGGAGGGCCACCTGCTAGTGGCTGCGGCCCCACTCACTCAGCTCTCTTTTGGGGGTGGCCTTGGCCACAGAGCTGGAGGCTGTGGCTGAGCGGGTGGAGCCTGTGAGCCGCCTGCTGGCCCGGCTGCCTGGCTCCGTGCTGGTGGTTCTGCGCTACCTTTTCACCTTCCTCAACCAGTGAGTGCCTCTGGGGAGCAAGCTGGGGATGGGGGTGGAGGGGACATCAACATGGAGCTCCCTGCCTGTGACCTGCATGTCCCCTCCAGCCTGGCCCAGTACAGCGATGAGAACATGATGGACCCCTACAACCTGGCTGTGTGCTTTGGGCCGACGCTGCTGCCCGTGCCTGCTGGACAGGACCCAGTGGCCTTGCAGGGCCGGGTGAACCAGCTGGTGCAGACACTCATCCTGCAGCCTGCACAGGTTTTCCCAGCCCTGGCCACACTGCCAGGCCCCGTCTATGAGAAGTGCATGGCACCACCTTCGGCCAGCTGCCTGGGGTATGCTCTTGGTGCTGCCTGGGGGGTTCAGTGGAGGACAGCCCCCTCATCTGCCTTGCTCTGCTCTGAACCTCAGGGATGCCTTGCTGGAGATCCTTGTGGGGGAGAATGAGCCAGAGCTGGAAGCTGGGACCTCCGCTCAAGAGGATGGTGAGTGGAGAAGCTCACTTCTCTACTCTGTGAGGAAGTGAGGCCCCACCCTGTCCCCACTCTGGGCGCCCACTTCATTCCCACTCATACTGTCTCTTGTCCCCAGACCTGGAGGGGGTTGTGGAGGCCGTGGCCTGCTTTGCCTACACAGGCCGCACGGCCCAGGAGCTGACGTTTCAGCGAGGGGATGTTCTGCGGCTGCATGCACGGGCCTCAAGTGACTGGTGGCGGGGGGAGCATGCTGGTGTGCGGGGACTCATTCCCCACAAGTACATCACGCTGCCTGAGGGGTGAGTGAACTGTGGCTTCAGGAAGGGTCCCATGATTTCAGCCTTGGCCCTCCTAGGCCTGGTGCTCAAGGCTGCCCTCTCAGCCTGGCCTGAACTAGGGGTATCCACACCTTCTCCACCCAGCTTTCTCAGGAAGTAGACACTTGTTCTTGAGGAGACAGTACAGGAATATGCAGGCATCTCAGGCGTGACCCAGCTCCTAGGCCTCAGGAACTTAGGACAGGCTGGATTGCTGCCTTCTCTCTTCTCTGAGCCAAATTTTGTAAATCTGGGTTGGGCCTAACCATGAACATTTGTGCCCACTTTTGGCTGGGACCCCAGCTAGGAAGGAGCACTCATACAGGCTCATCTCTTTCCTGCCCGGGGCTGAGAAGCAGGTGGTAGGTCCAGGGCCTCCTGGTCTTGAAGTTTACCCATTGGTGAGAAAGTAGAAGACAGCCCTTAGCAAGACCCTTCTGAGGGTCCTGCTTGCCCAAGGCAGCAGACATGGTGGCCAGAGGCTGCCCTCACCATGCCAGGCCAGGGGGGCTGGGCTCAAGTTTTGGCTACCTGGGAGCAGGGGAGTTGTCAGATGAGGGTCACTAAAAAGCAGAGAACAAAGTCCAACTGGCTTTGACAGGGAGAGACTTTAGAGGAGCTTGGGGAGCACTGGGATCCACCCCTTTCCTTGGCCACAGCCCAGGGTGGGAGGAGCCACTGCCACCTTGGCTTGGGGACTTCCCAGGCCCTCCACTAGGCTTACTCCCTTTGCCCTGCAGGTCAGAGATGGGCACCCCACCTGAGGCTGTGGACCCCTCTGGACACAAACAACACTGCTTGGTCCCAACCTCCCCAGAGCGACATGTGGAGGTGGATAAGGTGAGAGCTAGGTGGCAGGTGGGGCAGCCCCTCTCCTGCAAGGTCACTGCCTCCCCTTAGGAACCCAACTCCTCCCTCCTGAGGTGAGGTTCCATCTCTGCTTTCTTTGGCCAGACAAGAGCCCAAGACAGAGCCCAGAAAGGGGCAGGAGGGCAAAGGGGATGGAGATGGGAATGGGAAGGACAAAGGCCCAGAGGCAGGGACGAGAGGGGCAGAAGACCCTGGACCTGACTGGGTCATGGGGCTCATTCTTGAACAGGGATGCAGCAGGGATAAGCTATCTAAGCTGGCATATGCGAGAGGCTCTTGGACAGGCTTCAAGGCTGGCATCTAGAGCCAGGCTAGGTGACAAACAGTGACATGGAAGGTGTTTGGCACACCAGGGAAGATGAAAGGGATAGAGAGGCAGAAAGGGTCCTGGCTAGCAGCACAACCTTGGGAACACCTACCCCTGTTCACTTGTCCTGAAAGATGGACCCTGTGACCATCTGTGCACAGGGAAGCCCTGGGGACAGTCACTGAGCCCAAGGAGGAGACAGTACAGGAATATGCAGGCATCTCAGGTGTGACCCAGCTCCTAGGCTTCAAAATGGTAGAAGGGAAACCAGTGTGGAGTGGCGGAGGCCAGGGAAGGAGGGGTGGCAGGGAGCCCCACTGGGAGGGGAGGGGCCCAGTGGCAGGGTAGGAGGGGTCAGGCAGAGGCTGGGAATCGGGGAGCCTTTTCTGGGGGAGCCCTCACTGGATGCTTTCCCTTCCTTTCCTCTCTGCCAGGCTGTGGCACAGAACATGGACTCCGTGTTTAAGGAACTCTTGGGGAAGGCTGCTGTCCGCCAGGGCCTTGGGCCAGCAGCTCCTGCCTTCACCAGCCCTGGGCCCCGAAGCCCAAAGCCTCTGGCCTGTAGCCGCTTCGGCAGGAACAAGGGTTTCTCCCGTGGGTCTGGGGCCCCAGCTTCACCCTCTGCCTCCCATCCCCAGGGCCCAGATTCAGCCCTCAAGCCACACTGAGATGCTCTGGTGGAGCCAGTGCAGGTCCTGCCTTACTCCAAGTGGCTTCCAGCAAGTCCACCATTGTCCCCAGGTCCTTTGCTTCTTCTCATCCCTGGCTAAGGGCCCTTAGGGAGGCAGCCAGGGAAGGAGGCTGGGGGCAAGCCCCTCTGCGGCTTTGCTGGGAAGGCTCGTCAGTGGCTTTGGGTGGCAGGTGTTGGCAGTGATTCATAAAGACCTGTGCATTGATACCTTGATGGAGCCAGCTCTCTGTCTCTGGGGGCTGGGCAGGTTGGTACAAGGCCAGCCCCAGCACCTCTACTGGCAAGGAATAGCTTCTGCTGTGGGTGCCCTGGCACAGAGCTGTCCATTCAGGGGGCTGTATCTCCTGGGGACCTGTACCTATGAAGGCTTGGTTGCTTGCATTGTGGGTTCCAGACCCATGCATGTGTTGAGGGTCTTCGTATGTCTGTTTCTGCCTCCACATCCACTGTTACCCTAATGCAAGAAGACCCCCTCACCATGTGGAAAATAGCCAACTTTTATTAGGGAAGGACTAGAGAGGTACAGACAGGAAGGTACACTGGCCCCACCCTGCTCCTTCCTCTTTGGCTCCCTGGGACCTCTGTGTTACCTGGAGGGCACTTTCCAGGGCACAGGTCACCTGCCACCCCCAGGCCCTGGGATCCTCTGCCCTATCTAGTCTCTCCCCATGCCTGGAACAAGGAGCTAACTTAAGGGACTCTCACAGTCTTGGAGCCTGAAAGCCTCTTTGTATACAGTGAGTCCTAGAAGAGCTAGCCCCAGAGGCAGCTGAGCTTCATGGAGCTTTTGGAAGGAAAGTGCCCACTGGCTCCTCAGGAGAAAGTATCCTTGGCCAGGGAGGAGCTGGCAGTGGCACAGGACTCGTCTTGGGGCCCCAGGCTGGGTGGGGCCTGCACCCGAGCACAGCAGAGCAAGCTGCGCAGCTCTGAGGAGACGCTGCTGCTGAAGGAGGCATAGATCCAGGGGTTGGTACAGCTGTTGAGGCTGGCCAGCAACATGAGCAGCACGAAGGGGGGCCCTGTGGAGGCAGAGTCCAGGTTGGGGCTCAGGGGTCCGGGAGGGGTGGGATCCTGTGTACCTGCTAAAGGCTACCAGTGCGCACAAGCACATGCTTGTGGCCCACCGTCGGGTGTGGGTATGGGTAGAGGACCAAGTTCAAGCAGCCCCCAGAGCCCTAGCCACAGCTACACCTACCTTCCAGAGGTGCCTCTGGGTCCCATGCTGCCCATAGCTGCACAAGGAAGAAGGGTGCCCAGCATAGCACGTAGACGATCACAATCACCAGTGTCATCCTCACAGTCTTGGCCATGGCTGCTGACACCCGGGCTCCCTCTCTGGGACTGCCTGTCCGGTGCCTTCTGTGGCGCCCCCCAGCCCTTTCCGATGGCCCTGGCACCAGACTGGCATGAATCTCCCGGAAGATGAGAACCTGGCAAGCAGCAATACCCAGGGCAGGTGCCACAAACACCATCAGGGCAATCCAGGTGACATAGGCACGAAGGCCCCAGGGCTCTGCAAAGCGGGCCCAGCAGTCAAAGACCCCGCTGCCATCTCCCACATCACGCTGGGCAAAGATGAAGAGCTGAGGCAGGCTGAGAAGAAGCGAGAAGGCCCAGGCCACCAGCACTGGCCGGTTCCAGCGAGCCCCACCTCCATGGCGGTATGCCAGCATGGGGCGGCAGATGGCGCGGTGGCGGTCTAGCGTCATGGCCAGGATCATGTAGGAGGAAGCATACATGCCCACCATCTGCAGGTACTTGACGGCCCGACACAGGGCATCAGGCCCACGGAAGCGGTCGGTGGCATCCCAGGCTAGCTGGGGCAGCACTTGAAATAGAGCCACAGCCAGGTCTGCTAGGCACAAGTGGCCAATGAAGACGTGCATGGGTGCCCAGCGGCCGCGCCGGCCACGTCGTACTAGGGCCCCCAGTACCAAGCCATTGCTCAAGGCCACAGCCACAAAGACTGTGGAAAGTAGGGCCAGTTCTGCCCGGGCTAGCAATGGGTCCCTGGTGTCCAATGACTCCTCCCGGCTGCCGTTGCTTGGCGGGCTAAGTGGAGAGAGGGGCCCAGGCACAGCTGGGCAAGGGTGGGAGGAAAGGGCCAAGTTAGAAAGGGTGCCATGTAGGGAACTCAGGCCAAGGAAATTTCCACCAGATGCTAGAGCTGGTGGCCTGGGCAGCTGGCACCTTGGACCTCCCCTACTGTCCACTTTTTGGCTCCCAGCAGAGGGGACTCCTCCAAGCAAGCCTCATCTGTGGGGAGTTGTACACATGTGGTCCCAAGGGAAGGGCAGCCTCAGCCCAGGGAGTATGTATGACCTGCCCTCCTCTCCCTCTCCTCCTCCCCTGAGGCATTTCTTCCCACCTGCCCCAAAGAGACGAGCAAAGGAGCTCTTTAGAAAGAGGGGCTTCTTGGTTTTATCAAAGCCACCCAACTCATCCCTGTGGGGGTGTGCAGGGGCCCAGCCTTACCGGAGGTGGTGGAGGCCAGCAGCATGGTGGGGCCACCGCAGGTGTCCTAAGTCTTTGGAGACGGGGCAAACTCTGCCTCCACTTGAGGGGCCAGCCCTGATGCCCGGGTTAACTGTACAGAAGTCCTTAGAGAGGTGTCAGGGTAGCCGATGCCTGTCAGTGTGTGGGTGCCTGGGATAGGGGTCTGGCCTGTGCTCACTCCTGGGCAGGAAGATAAGAGAGGCAGTCAGCTAGGTGTTGAAATGCATGTCTGTCATCTCACTTAGTGAGACCCTGAGTCAAAAATTAAAAAAAAAGTTAAAAAGGCTGGGGACTGGGGATGTAGCTCAGTAGTAGAGCACCACTGAGTTCAGTACCCAGCACTCCCCCCAGAGAAAGAGGGAGGGAGAGAGAGAGAGCGTGCATGTGAGGCAGTCACACAGAACAAACAGCCCAGGATACACCCAGGCAGCCCCTGAGACCTAGATTGGGGAGTGGGCATCCAAGCAGATTCATAAATCCTCCTGCCCTGGCACAGGCCTAGAGAGTTTACCATCTGAGGGCTAGAGGCTAGGCAGGAGGGACTAGGTATGCTGCCACAGGCCCCTTCACAACCCCTTACCTGGCCAGGCTCCCGGGCTCCTGGGCAGCTGGGCAGCAGCGTGAAGGTGGCCCAGGCGCTCAGATCTGTTCTCCATCGCCTGCCCCGCCCAGACCCAGCCTCTGGGAGTGACCAGCCCAGGAGAGGACTTCCTCCCCCTTTTCCTCCCCCACATGCCTCCCCTGGCCTCCCGCTTCCCTCCTCCCATTCACCAGGAAGTAGGTTCCTGGCCTCCAGTTTCCCTTCCTGCCCTCAGGCTTCCCAGATCCATCCCCAGGGCTCCTTCCCCCACTCCTCAAGGCCCTGAGGCTGCCTCATCCAGTCCCCCACTTGGCCTAGTGGCAACCTCCATTCATCCCACCTGCCCCCACCCCACAGGACCCCCTTCCTGGAACTTCTGGTCTGGTAGTGCTGTGAGGGATCACCCGTGTAGCACCTCACCTCCTGAATGGGTAAACTGAGATCGGAGATGGCAGGTCGTCACTCCTTTTTCCCAAGCCAGCTCCTGTTCCTATTTGGCCCCAGTGAGGAAGGAGTAAAAGCCAAGGGAATTCCCACTACACTCAGGGTGCCCCCCCATGCATACACAGTCCCCTCCTTGTCAATTAGGGCTGGCTCAAGAGGAGGGACAGGAAGGGAGGGGGTGGGGTAGGGGCCAAGTCCAGGCTTAATGTGCCCCTGCAATATCCAGCTTCCTCCCCAGGGGCCTGTGGGAGCCAGGGACACCCCACCCACTTCCTGCAGCTAGCTACCTGCTGTAGAAGGAGGGGTCTTCCAATGGGACCTCCATGCTGTTACCTGTGTTCCTCTTGCTTCCTCTCTCTCTTCTCTCTTCCACACGTACACTCACACACACACAATCATATATATGACATCCACACACCCACCAGACAGTGTTTGACAGATACACACATGAATTCATAGGCACGTTCATGCATACACCACAGCCACTGGGGTACAGGTTTTGATGTGGAGAAGTCTGAGAGGGGACTTTCCATGCCAAGGTCTTTGGATCCTCCCTCCTTCCCCCCTCCTCTGTAGCCAGGCCCCTGCAGCTCATCAGCTTCCCCTCTGCTCATGGCTCCCACTCTTTGCAGATGTCAGCCTACCCAGCCCAGCCCTGGCCACAGCCTGTCCACCCGCCCAGGGCAGGCTCCTTTTTTTCCTGTTTGTCCTCTCCAATGACCTGCAAAGCCGGAGACCAAAACTGGCCTCTCATAGACATGGACCAGGCCCTGGTCCAGGGACCTTGCCAACAGCCAAGGCCTCCTCTTCCTGCCTGGTGACTGTTGTGGTGTTCCAGCTCCCCCCCACCCAGCCTCAACGGATAGAGGACATGTGGGGGTGTGCACTTTGCAAATAGGCAAAGATGCACACGCACTCACCCCCACCCGTAGATCACCACACATTCACAAAACGTGTACACATGCCACGCAGCTCACATGTGCACACACACACATACACACATACCACACAAGGCACACAGTACACACTGAACACACACACATGACAGTCACATTCACATATCCCACATGCATATTTATGTTTTTTGGAACCCTTGTCAAATCAGTTGCAGAATGCTGATACCCCACCTCCAAGTCCTTCCTTCCTTTCCTCATGTGCACCTCTCCATCAGCACCCCCACCCTTGCGTACTGGCCTCTGGAGATTAAGTATCAAGGAGACAAATCTCCTCATCATCCAGACACCTCTTAACTGGCAAAGAAATTGAGGACCTTGGTCCCCTAATAACAGAAAGCAAGGCTCAAGTCCTTGCTAGGCCACTGCCCAGCTGTGTCTACGTGACCACTCAGCTTCCTGTTCCCCTTCTCCAAAGTATGGAATTCAATGACTGAAGTGTGGCCTGTCCTTCACTATCCACTGCTTCCCCAAGATCAGAGCCCTTCCTTCAGTCACCAAACTGCAAGTGGCCCCACTGTGGACATGGAGGTGGAAAGACCCAGACCTGCTCAGGAAACAGGGGCCCGTGTAGAGAGGAGTGGAGGCAGGGAAGCCAGGAGAGCCTGGGACCAAGACCCAGGTGCCCAAAGGAAGGAGGTACACAAGCTACTGAGAGGCTACATCCTGAAGTAGGAAGAAGCACCCCAGCTGGGCCCAGGGGCTATGCAATTGCAGGTAGGCAATCCCATGTGGCAGTGGAAGGGATGAACGAGTTGTGCGTATAGCCATGATGAATGGATGTCACAGGGACTGGTGAGGAGCAGAATGAGAACTCCTGTCATTCAAATACTTGGGAGAGGTGCCTGTGGGGGAAGGAGCAATGGATCAGAGGAGGGGATTAAGTGGGCACAAACAAATAAAAACAAGTGGGGCTGGGGTTGTGGCTCAGTGGTACAACACTTGCCTAGCATGCGTGAGACATTGGGTTTGATCCTCAGCACCACATAGAAATAAATAAATAAATAAAGGTATTGTGTCCAACTACAACTAGAAAATATATTTAAAAAAATAAGTGGGTGTGCGCATATGCTGAATGGCTGCAGTCAATGATGACAGTCTGAGGATGATTGTCCTGTTCTATCTCACCTGCATGGGAGAGGGCAGGGTCCCCAGCAAGGCACCCTCTCACTGGGCTGGCATGAATATAGTACTAGGGCAAAGGAAAGCACATAGAGGCCTGCACCTTCAGCTAGTCTTGAGGTCACCTAAGGCTCAGGCAGCCTGGCAGGAGTCTCCTTTTTGGTTGGTCATACATACATGTAGTTTAAACAGGCAGATTGTTCAGTGAGGCTCCTTTCAAAAAGTGCCACCAGGGCTGTGGTTGTGGCTCAGTTGTAGAGCACTTGCCTAGTATGTGGGAGGTACTGGGTTTGATTCTCAGCACTGTGTCCATTTACAAGTAAAAAAAATAAAAATAAAAGTGCCATCTGCCCCTCACTATTTCCCTACCCAGAGGCAACCAATTTCAGTTCCTGTCAATGAGCTCTTTTAGTACTTCCCTCTGGGTTTCTCAGTCAGGACACTTGGCCTTCTCCCAACACATGTTCCTTTTCCTTCATTACAAGAACATCAGCAATAGCTTCTTCTCTGAAATGAGTTTTGAAATCAGCTTTACTTGCCTAGCATGCACAAGGCCCTGGGTTTAATCCCCAGCACTGCTATCAATCAATCAATCAATTTAAATTTAAATTTAAAATGGTAAATTAAAAAAACAAAGATAGCCTGGTGGGTGAGGTGTATATCTGTAATTCCAGCTACTCTGGAGGTTGTGGAAGGAAGATTGCAAGTTCAACGCCAACCTGGGCAACTTAGTGAGACCCTAAGCAATTTAGTGAGACCCTGTCTCAAAAATAAACAAAAGGGCTGGGGATGTAGCTCAGTGGTAGAGAACTCCTGGATTCAATCCCCAGTATACCAAAAAAAAAAAAAAAAGAAAGAAAGAAAAAGAAAAAATTAGAAACAGTTTAAAAAATAGAATAGAGTACAAAAAAATCTGTGGACAACTCTTACTTTTCACTTTTTTCATATATATATATATATATATATAAATATATATATAATTATATATTTAGTTGTAGGTGGACACAATATCTTTATTTTGTTTATTTATTTCTATGTGGTGCTGAGGATCGAACCCACTGCCTCACATGTGCTGGCCAAGGGCTCTACCACTGAGCCACAACCCCAGCCCCTCTTCTTTGTTTTTGTTAACTATTTTCTGTGGAGTGAAACCAGAGTCTCATACATGCTAGGCAGGTGCTCTACCACTGAGCTACACCCGGAGCCTTATTTTAAAAAAAATTTTCATTGAAGCATTATAATTATACATTATGATGGGATTTGTTATGCCATATTCATATATGCACATAACAGTTTGATCCATCTAATTTCCCAGTACCTTCTCTCTCCCTCCTCTCCTCCCTCTTCCGTCCACTTGCTATACTCTATTGATCTCCTTTCTATTATTATTATTATTTTAATTAATGCATTATCATTTATATATGAATATATATATTTGTGTGCTATTTTTATATGAACATAGCATAATTTGATAGTTTTCATTCCCCTGTACTTCCCCATGTCCTTTCTTCCTCCTTCCCTCTCCATCCCCTTCCTCTAATCTATTGGTCTCCTTTCTATTTTTGTGAGATCCTTTTTTAAAATTCCCGTTTCTCTCTCTTTCTCTAACTTCTGTATATGAGAGAAAACATTCAACCCTTGATTTTCTGAGTCTGGCTTATTTTACTTAGCATGATATCCTCCAGTTCCATCCATTTACCAGCAAGTGCCATAATTTTGTTCTTCTTGCTACTGGGTCCATTGTATATATATACCACATTTTCTGTTAATTTGTTGATGGGCATCTGAGCTGGTTCCATAACTTGCCTGTTGTGAATTGTGCTGCTATAAACATTGATGTGGGCTGTATTGCTATATATGCTGATTTTAGTTCTTTTGGATAAATATCGAGGAGTGGGATAGCTG